AGTACATCAACTATTCCATTATTTGTTCCTTTAATATGTTCAAAATTTATTTTGTAACCACATCCTTGTATAACATTTTGTAGGTTAATCTATCGTGTTCTGTTAACTTTCTTACTTTGATCATTTTTGATAAAACGAACTATAGCTTCACAATCTGTTCTAACTGTAAATTCTTTGTGTAAAAATATTTTGAATTTTTCTAAAGCATTTATTAAGGCTTGGATTTCAAAATCTAAGTCTGTCCAGTTCATACCTATCTTATTAAAATTTCCACTTGCATACGAGCAAATCTTTTCTGTATCTTTGGGACTATATTTATTAGGTTTACAAAGAACGGCTCCCCATCCTTCTTTACAGCCATCGACTTCTATAATTATATAGTCTGTAACTAATGGTAGTTTTAATGGTTTAATATTTTTTACTTTTTCTTTTATCATTTTTACTAATTTTAGATCTTCTATGTTAAATTATATATATGGGAAGAGTTCAAACGAGAATCCCTTTGATATACAAAAATACGAGAACACCTTATTAACCTCATATTGTGATAACAATCAAAATTAAAAGATTTTTTAAATTAAAAATGAAATTAGAACAATTCAAAAAAAATTGAGAGGCAAAAGGGTAATATTGGAATTTAAAGTGTTAAAATTTTAAAAACACGATCACACTAAACCAATAATTTGGATAACATAATGGTTATCGCTTATTTCAATACGATTTGGTGTGATTTGGGCGTGATATGAGTGTGATAATTATGTGATAATCATGTGATTATCACACAATTATCAAGAATTCCACTCGGCTAGGGTAAAATTAGGAAATCGACTACCGATTTGGTGTGATATGGGTGTGATAATCATGTGATATCACTATCATAACAGCGCACTCGATTTGATCATGGTTTCGATCGGTTAGGGTTAGATAATCACACATTTATCACAACGATTACTTATGGTTTCGATAGTTTAGGATTAGACAATCACACATTTATCACAACAATTGCGGGCGAAATCCACTAAACGATTTGGTGTGATATGGGTGTGATAATCATGTGATATTACTATTATAACATCACTTGCGCACTCAATTTGATCATGATTTTGATCAGTTAGGGTTAGACAATCACACGTTTATCACAAGAATTACTCATGATTTTGATAGGTCATGGTTACACTCGATTGATCATGGTTTCGATAGGTTATGGTTACACAATCACACATTTATCACAAGGGAAAAAAAAGAGTGGAGATGAACGTGCAGGAAAAATAGGGATAATTATAGTTAATTAAAACAAAATAAAAATTATAAAAATTACTTAATTACATTACTGCCCTTATTAATTTATTTATATTTAATATAAGTTAATTTATTAATTAAAAAAGTTTGAGGTTATTGGGTTGTTCTCGCATTCTCGTAAATCATAGGGGTTCTCGTTTGAACATCCACCATATAATATATATATATATATATATATATATATATCACCATCTACATCCAGAAAGCCGTATGCTTTTTAAATTAAATAATTTCCTATTGAATCAAAATGATGTTACTGCATGAATAGGGATTATAGTAAAATTATCAACTAATCAGAATGCTTGATTATTAGACCATGGTATAAGAGACCTCTGGTGTGAAAAAAAGTTTGTGACGCTGAACTGGACTTCAAGATTTCGTGATCCGCTGCCGAACTTATTCCAAGAGACGATTTTATCATTTATGTATCCGAAATTCGCTCCATCCCCGCAGGGGCAGAGAACCCGTCGTTGTCTCGGCTGTGCTACCGGATATATATATACATAGGAGCCTATTCAAGGAAGAACTGAGTTGTTTTTGGTAACTGTGAGAACCAATATTAACCACAAATCAATAGATAAATTAGAAAATTTATAAATTTGGTAATTTTAAATTAAAATCTTAATGCAAAAATATTTTTGGTATTTTAAAACTCTCCTCTCTCCTCTCTTCTCTCTCCGGCCACCGTTCTCCGGCCTCCGACCACCGTCCTTCGGTGATACCACTATGATACCACTGTGATACCTAAAAATATTGACTATGTTAAACAAAAGATACATTATGATACCTAATCATATATAAGATGCATAGT